AACTAGGGGAATTAGGCAAGGAGATCCACTGTCGCCTTACCTTTTCATCATCATAACTGAGCTTCTCACTGCTTTGATTGGTCAGTCAGTTGGCAATGAACAGTTCAGAGGTCTCAAACTGTCCAGAAATGGCCCATTGCTTACTCATCTTCTATTTGCAGACGACTCTCTATTTTTTTGCAAGGCAAGCACAGGTCAAGCAGCAGTTCTAATGACAATTCTTGAGAAATATAGGCTCTTTACAGGTCAAACTGTCAACCTCCAGAAATCTGCAATCTTCTTCAGCAGAAACACTCCTCAGTCCATTAAATCTTCTATCTGTAATACTCTGAATGGGATCATCTCTCACAGATCAACGAGATATCTTGGCCTGCCACTTGGGATAGGAAAATCCAAGAAAGAAGTTTTTGCCTATCTGTTAACCTCAGTGAAGAAGAAGCTGCACAACTGGAAGACAAAATTTCTAAGCCCAGCTGGAAAGGAAGTCTTACTCAAAGCAGTTATACAGGCTTTGCCCATCTTCTCAATGTCTTGCTTCAAACTCCCAGTCACCCTTTGCTCTGAAATCTCCATGCTCTGTGCCAAATTCTGGTGGAACACAGGTGAACAGCAAACCAACAGCATCCATTGGAAGAAATGGTGTTATCTCACTTTGCCAAAAACTGCTGGTGGCCTAGGGTTCCTGGACTTGCAAATATTTAACAAGGCCCTTATATGCAAACAATTGTGGAGAGTCACAGCCAATCCTAACCTTCTTGTTAGCAGAATCCTTAAAGGCAGATACTATCCCAATTCCTCAATTACTCAAGCAACTAAAACTCAGAATAGCTCTTGGATGTGGAGCTGCTGGCTAGAAGTTCTGCCTTTCTTTTCCAAATGGCTGAAGACAGAAGTAAGAAATGGAACTTCTACTCAAATAGCAGATTTCAATTGGGTTCCAAATCTCAATAAGCCAACTCCAACACTGATACCAATTGCCAGAGGTCATCTGAAATGGGTTCATGAACTTATTCAACCCAATGGCTTGCAGTGGAATGAGTGGCTGGTGAGGCAGGTTTTTGACCCTGGTGACAGTGAAGCCATCCTTAAGATTACATCCCTACATCCTAACAGAAATGACAGATTTTTTTGGGGCTTAGAGGCAAAAGGTGACTTCACAGTTTCTAGTGCATACAAACAGCTCTCAAGCATCAAACTCACACAGCTCGACATTCCTGAAAGCAGTTCTAATGCCACTCTGAAAAAATCAATCATGTTCAGACATTGGAAATTAAAAATTATGGGAAAGGTGAAACATTTTATCTGGAAATGTATGACAGGAACCCTCCCTGTGGCTGTTCAACTGAGAAGAAGGAAAGTGAACATTGATCATATTTGTTCTATTTGTGGTGAAGCATCTGAAACCATTGAACATGTTCTTCTCACATGTCCTAGAGCAAGGAGGACTTGGGAGCTATCTCCAGTTTCTTGGAATGGCCTCCACACTGCCACAGACTCTTTCAAAACTTGGTGGTACAAAGTCTGCTCCATTAACCACACAGATGTTGCCGAAGCAAGGATACAATTATCAACATACATCCTTTGGTGGCTCTGGAAGTCCAGAAACCTGTGGATTTTTCAAAACTCACTAATGCCAGTAGCCTCAGTTCTCAAACAAGCTCAGGCAGATTGGCTCCAGTTCTGTTCCTCACATTATTGTCAGTATATTTTGCTTTTTATTTTTTGCTTTTGTAGCTGTTGGTAGAGGTTGATTTCCTTACTAGGCTTTTTAGCAGTGGTGGGAAGTTTCCTCTGTATTTTTATTTCTGTTTCTATTCCTCTTGTAGAGGCTCTAGACCATCCTTGGATGTGTCTCTCATTTTTACATTTTCAGGTGTATTTTGTATCTTGAACCTTGTATTGGGACTTTGTTCCCCCTCAGTTATATTATAGCTCATCTGTCGTTCTGGGAAAAAAAAAAAAAAAAACATGATACGTACTTTGAAAAGTTTGTAACCATTAATTTAGGAACCATCCGATTTTAAATGATTTATAATTTTTGAAACATGATACGTGCATTTAAAACCCATTAATTTAGGAATCATCCAATTTTTTGATAATGAATTAAAATTAAAATGTAAAATAAAAAAATTGCTGAAAATAGTATATAATAAATGTGGGTTGACTTTTCCTTACTACTATTTATGGTAAATGTTAATTCTTATTATATATATATAGATATAGACGGCCGTTAATTAACCTTTGTTTCCATTAAAATACATCAATTACAGTATATAATAACCAAAGGCCAAAGGGGGTAGCGTATGAGCATTGAATCCAGTACATGCATCTATAGTTAAATATTAATATGGATATATTTTATTAATTATATATTCGTTAATTAAATACGTGAAAAAGATAATTGCACCAAACTTCACGTGCTTATGAAAAATGAAATTTCTCTAAGAGTAGTCATGTTTAAATAAAAAAAAATACTACAAGTACATAGTAATAAATGTACATAGGTGTACATAATATTTATGGAATAGATTTCATTTGATTTTTTATTTTTGATCAGTTCCACTCAATATGAGTGTTATGTACACTTCTATGTACAATATTATGTACCTATAGCATTTCTCAATAAATAAATCAATAATAATATCGTAAGCTTTAGAGGGCGGAGTCACCCACAGGCTGAGAGGGCTTCAGATCGGTCTTAATTGTACGGCTATGTTAATTTTATATTGATAAAAAATATTTTAGCCCACAGTACATTATATTATCCCAGTATTAATCTTATTTTGGCCCAAAACAAGTTAAATTTATTCGAAAAACATTAAATCAATGAATTATATATTTAAACATGATTTAACTTTTTTTTTCACTTTTCTTTTTAGATTATTATGTCTTTTTCATGTTATTCTTGTGTTCATTTTTTATTATTTGATTAAATAAATGTTATATGAATAATTTTATTCCATAAAATATTTGATTGTGTTATACATTATTAGAATACTTAGTATGTAATTGAGTTTATAGATTTTACAATCAAGTTTAAATATTCACTGAATTTTTAAATAAATGTTAGTTGATTATATGAAATTTACTATTAAATCCAGGGTTCAACGTACTCCTTATGATGTCTAGCGTTCGTTTAGGCTATTATGGATCGGGAAATGTTCAGATTTTAAAATTATTCGGCGCTAAAAAAGGAGCCGACCTAGGGTTCTAGTTCTCCGGTCATCCTAACTCATTTCAAGCTGAAAATTTAACCATAAATTCAACATGATTCATGAAGATTTTATATCGATAAACCTCAAGAAAAACTCATCATATCAAGCCTCTAAAACTTTACTGATATAAGGCTAAAGTCCCGATTTGTGAAACCATATCAAACGACCTCCAAAAATCTTCAAATTTTAAAAACAACCTCAAAATAATATTTAAGATTTATAGACAAAATATCTCAGTAAGAATAGATCTTTAACTCAATTAACATAAAATAGCCATTTTAGATCTAGATTCCTAGTTCACATAGCAAATGATCTCCACAAATTCTAAAATTTAAATCTCAGCCTCCAGACAATATTATGGATTTTAAAATTTTATATCACATTTTTAGCACATCTACAACTCAAGATCCAAAAATCAAGCATCTAATAGCACTAATTTTAAATCTCTCATATCTACTCCATTTTTTCTTGATTTTATAATTTTAAAATACTTTATAAATCATATCTAAGCCGTAGAAGGGGGTTTTGGGGATCTTACCTTCTTCAGGAAAACGAATAAGAAGTGAAGGTGGCTAGTGGTGCTTGGTGCGGGTGGCTTGGGCGCATATCTAGGTGAGCTGGTCACTGGAAGCTGTAGATCTGGGCCTTGGCACTAGACCTGGGCGCGGGAGCGGCGCTGAGAGCTGGATGACGCGCTCGCACGGAAGCATGGATGTTGTGGCTGGGCGCGCGAGATCTGGACACGTGTTGGAGCTGCGGCCTGGGGTCTGGGTGTGCTGGGAGCTTGGCGTTACGTGGATCTGAGGTTGTTGGAGGTGATGGCGGTCAAGGGAGCTGGGAGCTGGCCTAGAATGGCTAGGGCTTGGGTGGCTCGCGTGTGGTTGCTAGGGCTATATGAGGTGGCCTAATATTTTTGTGTGGTTAAGGAGAGATTTGTAGGACTTAGAACATGTTGGTGCTTAGGAAAATATTGCTTGAAGATGAGTGTAGGAAAAATGGAGGCTAGATGATGGGAGTCTCTTTTTATAATGTGAGGGTCACGGGACAAGGTTGTTGGGAAAATTTGGATTTTTCTAAGTCTTGTCCCCTAGAGTACAACTTTGGTAGGTGGGAATTAAATGCAAATTCAAACTTGATCTTGAAGACTAATGGTCAAAATCTTAATGTTGCAAGTGTTGGGACATTTGGGCTAGAGTAGGATTGGGCTTATTTATGGAACTAAGGACTAGTGGCTTGATGTATTAGGTTTGGCCGATTAGGCCTTGAGGCACTGGGGCCGCTATTGTCGGACCGCTGAAGCTAGGCGTGCGGCAAAATGGCCACGACACCTTGGGTGCGGTATTAGGGCCATGCGTGTGTTGGGTCCGACACTATGGGCCGAGTGGCTAGCTTTCTTTGGGCCTAGGCCGAGGCCGAGGCTCGACCGGGCTTCGACCCTTATTAAATATTTTTTCTCGATTTCTCTTAGGCTCGATTTGGATTAAAAAATGGCCAAGTTCACGGCCATTTTTATAAGGAAGATACTTGGGCTAAAATAAATTCGATTCCATAAATAAACTCGAATGGATCTCCCTTGGCTTAGACTTAGAATTTATAAATTAATTTAATGCTCAAAAAATGAATAGAACTAGAAATAAATAAAACTTGATATTTATGGAACTAAAGTCGAGCTCATATATAATAAAAAGGTTTGGGGCGTTACAATACATATGCA